GGGTATGGCTAATTCGAAACTTTCGTATGTCATGTGATTTGACAGACGACAGCCCAATCCCTTTTTTATCGGAACCGAATGAAAAATCCTGTGCAATGCGTGAACCTGACAGTCATTGTAGAACATCAAACAACAAAAATCCTCCTGCTCATTCTGTCAAGAGATAAACATTCAAATCTGTTTGTTGGACGTTTTTACATTAAATGCAGGCCACGGCAACAAAACTGTATCTAAACGGACTTTTTGATTTGTCGCTACGATTTGCGATGCTATTCGGAAGAGCCGGTTTTGAGATACTTCATCTAGTCCAGTTGGTGTTGAGTGTTTGCGGCATTGTGATCGGCTCTCGCGACAATGGTGCTTAAGATTGTATGCAATTTATCCAATATTACATGTGATTCGTTAATTTTCAGGTGAGTCTACAATTTATTTAAAAGTCAAGATTTGGCCAGTGCCAACAAAACGATGATTTCATCGTCATGCTGTGACACGATCAAGAAAGATTCATTTTACAATTTTAGCCAACTGCCATTAGTCTCATTCCTACATCATATCGCATGAATAACTAAAACGGTTGCGAAGACCGAACATTTTAATTAATGCATTATAGCTCAATCTTCGAGATATGAATAATAAATTAGTCATCATAGCTGGCTGTGAACATATGACATTTTTAGACTTGTTTTAGTTTTATTTTTTTTAAATTGTGCCATCCTTACAGAAAGACGGTCAGGGGAAAATGCACCAAAACCCAACCCTCACCACTGGCTTCATTGCAGTGCTCCTCCTTCTAAGCCGGCTGGATCAATTTGCATTTTGGTACCGACATTTTGCCTCATCTGGGAGGCATTTTGTGGATCAGTTCTTCAGTTATCAACTTCCAAAGGTATCTCTGTACCTGATGGAGCGCATCTGAGGAGGGAGGGTTCAAGGACTCTTATGAAGATAGATGGGATTTTGTGTTTCGTACCCCTCGGATAGGTTCAGAGTCGAGATCGCATGATCAAATTGGCCGAATTGCAAAGACGCAGATTAGTCCAACTCGGGAGCATATAAGCCTGCTTTTATTTTCAACATTTACGATTTAGTGCCAGACACAACGTGGGGGTCAATGTTATTATGCATTTAGTGAGTTCAAAATGGACCGAAGTTTTGTGAAAGCGATTCATGAATCCCTTCCAATCAACTTTCCCTTGTAAATGAAATTCGAGTCTCATTACTTCATAAAGAGATTCTTCGAAAACCAAAGTTCCTTTAAGTATTTTTGATTTTTCTTATTGCTACACTATAATTATTATGATGTCGTGCGCCTAGTAAGCATCGCATTAAACCTATCACTTCTCACGAGACTGCTTGCTGAGCACTGATGGTTGCTTAATCCAGGCCAGAAATCGCAACATTCTTCACATCGCAAGCATTGTCTGGATGGGATTTTTTGGTTGAGGTGAATCAAATGGTCAGATTGTCTCTACTATCATACATCAGATAGTTAGACATATTAACTAAAATGCAAATAGGAACCACGCTAAAAATAAGGATGGCCAGTGCCCGACGTACGGAGAGAGATAATTTTCACTCCCATTTATATTTTCGCATCGTATTGGCAACATGTAGCTATGCAGATACCACTTTTAGAAGAGGTCATTATAGGACAAACTAAAGCTCCCATAAAACGTTGATACATCGGTACACTGGCTTCTCTGTAATTACAACCAAGCCGTATACCCATATTTGAGTTTGACATCTTACGCTTTATTCATAATAAAAGTGGGTTGACCTCGTTATGGCAACTTGGTCTTGTTGTCATGGCGATTATGTCGATCGCACCTAGTCCGAAGTCGTCTGCCATAGTAGTTGTCATAATTTCCAGCATCAGACAGTGGACGTGATACATTCTGAAACGTTCCGCCGGCATCATAGTCGGCATCATCAGTCAGTTTTGCCATTCTCCGCTACAAACTCGTCAAAGAGACAAGTGAAGTCAATTCCTTAACAAACGTTCTGCCGAACACGGTTACTCCATCACTCCTCTTTCTGTCCTGGTATATCTATCTACTCTTTGAGCTCTTATCCCACAGCCGCCCTATCACATTTGTTTACATTCCACTCGTCAAAATGTGTACCCTTTTGTGGCAAAAGCATGTTTGTTTTAACTAGAAATATATTTACTTATTTTTTGTATCTAAGTAGAGTGTAAAAGCAATCATATTTAAATTATATATGAAATAATAATATATTCAACCTTATTTTATTATAAAATAAAACAATCTAAAAATGATATACACCACAATCTACAACGTACGCTAATTGAAATTTCCAAAAAATATAGTAAATAGT